GGTCATTATGCACATGCATTCACATGCGCACGCGTGTAATGCTAAAATTGGAATGAACTTGGTACACTTCTGGGTAAACGTTGTTAAAGTCTCAAATGCATAGAGGTTGTCTTATTTAATGATTCTTACAGGGAATATGGCACCAAAAGGGAGTTGGGGAGCGTTTGGGGAACATCTGTAACGGTCCCCGTTACAATTAGCACTAGTTTTGTTTACTATTCAAAAACACTTTTCCGATATGCTCCTTTAACCTATTTTTTTTATATTCTGATGAAAATTTTTCTTCCATATATTAGGTTGATTGTAGCAAATATATGTCTCATGTGGGATCCATTGCTGTGGAAGGCGGTGCTACAAATACAGTCAACTGTCCACATATAAGTAGTACCTCGCACAGTGTATCTGACTATGTGTGTGGCGCTGATAAACACACCTACTACACGGAGTGTTACTACTGCAAACACGTCGCTCAAATGAGCAAAAACGGTAAGATTGGGGGAAAAAACTTTTATTGGACATTAATTTATTAATTTTATGAACGAAAAACGCTTGCTGTTATTTTGGATCTGTGTTAAGGTTATCCGATCCTCAGGTTCTGAAAATCAGGCATTGAGTAATTGAAAATGCTCACAAAGATGTCTCTAAATCCACAAATTAAAATGTAATTACCCACAGTGTTTCTTTTAACTTCATCTTTGAATTTAATCATATTATATAGGGAAAATAAGTAAATCTCAAATAATTTTTCAGGAAATGCAATTAGAACTTCCTACTGCATATTTTCTAATTGATAATTTATCAAGAAATACATTTTAAGAATAAAAATCATAGGTATCCAGGCTTTTAAAGAAAATTGCATGATTTTCATACTTATTCGGTACTTTACTTTCTCCTACTTGCTTCCATTGTTTCATAATGCATAGTGTATGAAGTGTTTCCTTTCAAAGAAAACACTGTAAATAACTTCTAATTTCAAATCATGCTTATAAACATTGGTAACTAAGGCTAAATTAAAAGAACTTTGATTTTTTTAAATATTCAAGTTTTACTTAGTTTTATGAGGTACAAATGTCAACTTTTTTAATACCGTTTGTTAAAACTTCAAAGAACTTTAAATCATACGTAGAGGCATAAAATGAAAATTGTTGCATGAAAAAATGTCAATTTCAAGCTTTATTTTAAGACTTTTTGAATTAAATTATAAATTAAAGAGTTATCCTTCCTGGCTGAGGATCGGATATCCTTAAGGTCCATTGACCATATGACAAGAAAGACAACCCTCACTGGAATAAAGAATACTACATGCAATTCTATATAGAACAAAATTGTAAAGTTAAAAGACAAAATGTCAAATTTTGCCATGCAGGATTTACCAAAATTGCATTTTACTTACAGATTTCTGTTAGGAAGTTAAACGAAAGCAAATTGATGAACCTTAAACCTTTTGATTGTTTTCAATATCCATTATGGACTTCCCTTTAGTTGAATCAATCATTATTCTCTTTTCAGGTGACACGTCAGGAGCTGCTATTTTGATGACAGGAGTTTGTCCACGTTACATAACACAACATGTTATTGGTTGAAGTTATTATATAGTTTTAATTAAATAAATGTCTTTTTGAAATGGGACTGTCAGTTGCTCTCTTTTCTTCTTTGGTTTATATTTGATCAACAACAAAACGATGCATTTGTTTGACTGGATTAACAGTCAGTTGTCCTCATCTGTTGTATAAACCTGGACAGAGTTCACATTGACGGTTATGAAAATTTGTAATGTACGGACAGACGCACGGATAAACAGGTAGTTAACATCAGATTTGAACAAAAATGAATCCCTCCATATGGCATGCCTCAGCAAAGAATGTGCTGAAATTTCACATACATGTCCAAGAACGAATTCGATGTCGATATCGACGATATCGACAATATTATGTCGATATCGTATCGATATCGATCGTCATGAGCACTATTAATTGGAAATATCTTGTGCCATATTTGAGACTCTATATTATGTCGATGTTGTCGATATCAACAATATCATGACGATATCGTATCGATCCTAATTGCACAATTTATTTTCATAATGAGGTATAACATAATTTTTCAAAGTCACAAGTAAATCAAAATTGATTCATAATTGGCATGAATATGAAAATAAATTATGATTAAGACAGTATTAGGGTTGTTATTGTTTTAGATTAGATTTAGAGTAAGGTGTTTGGTTAGGGTGACAAATCTTGAAAATATTTCAACAATCATGATTCGATATTGATACGTTATCGTCGATATCGACGATATCGACAGTAAGTAAGTTTATTAAACACAGAAGTGCTGTAAAAATAAAGTTTTTGTATTATGGTGAAGGTTGGTAAAGTAATATGCTTTTAACAATCATGATTCGATATCGAACGATATCGACGGCAGATAAAATCTCCGTAAAAGTAAAGTAAATAAACATAAACACATTCAAAGTAACAGGGAAGGTATTTACCAAGGGCTTTACAAACTTGATTCGATATCGAAACGATATCGTCGATATCGACGATATCGACACTTCAGGGAAAGATTTATAAAAAAAAGTTTAAGTAAAAGTTGTAAAACACACAATATTAAGGATGGAAACCACAATTCTTGGAACAATCATGATTTGATATCGGCACGATATCGAGGATATTGACAGTAAGGAAATAGTCTTAAAACAGGAAGTCATGTAATAAACACACGAGAATAGAGAAATATTATAGAAACTATAAAAAAGTAATGTGTCGATATCGTAACTACTTCGTGTCTTGGACATAACTCAAATTTCAAGCATCTGTAATTAGTAGTTGCTGAGAAATCTGTGGCCAAAAATTTGTTATGAACAGACAAAGGTCATTAAACCACTGAGTAAGGATACTTGTCGTAAAAATATTGCAATTTAATAAATCGTATATGTATGAACATAAAAGTTGCAAGAAAACTCAAAAATCACCATTTCAGGCCCTTTAAGTCAGGCTTTTTTTAAATTTTACTGTGACCAATGGGGCCAAAATTAACCCACAACATGTTCACTGTAACATGCTTATTCTACTATTTAGCCCTAAGCACATATATTTATGTGAATTCAATAAATACAAGACAGAATTATGTATAAATATTGACATTTTATTCTCATTCATCCTAAACATTCAAGTTTACAAACAGAAACATTCATGCATCTTCAACAGAACTGCAGATAATTGAAAAAAAGGTCTGTCAAAACACAGTCCTGAAAACAATTTTTTTTAGGGTTGCTGAACATTACAAAAAACAGACTCTTACAGTTCTTTACAACAAACATCCTCAAAAATAAATTGATTCCTAACACAACAAACTGATAACATATACACCCAGGCTTTCCTAGAGTAGCAGGACATTTATAAAATATTTAACATAGTAGGGATGTCATTGTCTGCATTTTAACTGGTTACAAAACAAAGCAGATACAGAAATTTTTTCTACCATCTGTCACAGATGGGCAGAAACATATGCCAAATAATTGATAAAAATACACTAGAAAGATTGTTGTTTATATTAGTACTTGTGTCTGCTTTGATAAATTTTATTTGGTGAAAAAATGATGAACACTTCTCATGGTGTCAAGCATGTTATATAAGTAAACAACTGGTAACAAATACATTGGGGGAAAAAAAATAAAATGCAGATGTTCCTCAATTTCTTTTTATACATTGTAATATACACCCATTTTATAAGGTAATTTTTTTACCTTGCACAATTCTTTCCTTCAGAATCAATGGAATTGAATGAAAAAGCAATTCATAACAACACTTCAGATGGAAAAAGCGATGTCGTCTTGCAAACGTTTAAAAAAAAAGACGAACTATGCATTAAAAATTGCTGACATGATTATCACAATGAGCTGCCTTCTCCCTGATGGTAGGAGCTGGCTTTTTTTTTTTCCAGTTGTCGATCTCATTAGCTTTATATATAAGAAATTTGATGTCTCTCTCTCTCTGTGGAAAGTTTGATGGACTTGCCATGTTCACCATTTCTCTCTGCTGTGTGCTATGTGATTTAGTTAATGTACTGAGCTAGCCAGCGGAAGCCTTCCCCATACCCTTGTCTTTTCAGAACACTACACATAAATAACTCCATTGGACGGCCAGGAAGCTCATTTCTGGACACAGTTCCCTAAAAGAAAAAGATTTTAGAAAGAATCAAGTAATATTTTTAACATGTCCTACCTTTGACACAAGACACCAAATTGGAGTAATTATCTTCTAATAAATATAATAATTTTACTATTTTTTTTTTTTTAATTTATTTTTAGTTATTTATATATATATTTTTTTTTCTCAAATCAAAGAAGAGTTTTCATACTTAAAAACATAGGTAATCAGAGATTACAGAGCTCACCTCAACGAATGTTGTCTTTAAGTAAGGCAAAGTCACACAATTAACCAACAAAAAGTATACATTCCAAAAATGAAAATATTTTTAAAAGCAATTTTGATCTGATACTTTAAAATAGACCTACATAAAAAATTTAAACTACTTCTTCTTCATGAAAATGTAATGAAAATCCAGCATCTGAAGCAAATTTGAGAGTTTTCATCTCTTGATGCAGCATTTGTGAAAGTTTGGTTTATACAATGTTATATAAGCCCTATAGTTTTTGGTAATAGACCTGCAACCATAACTTTTACCTTGTCTATTATCTGAAAAATGTATGTCCAATTCAGCATCCGAAGCAAGTCCATTAGTGTGCATCCTTAGATGTATCATCCATGCAAGTTTGCTCATTATAGGGCTCATAGTTTATTGGAAATGAAACATGCATTAAAACTAACATTTTCACTCATCCACAAAAAGTAGGTCAGATTCAGCTTCCGAAGGAAGCCTGGAAGTATGCATCCTTAGATGTATCATCTATGCAAGACTGGTCATTAAAGAACTCATAGTTCCTTGGAAATGAAACCTGCACCAAAAACTTTTAACTATTCACTCAACTGCAAAATGTAGGTCAGATTCAGCATCCGAAGCAAGCCTGGTAGTGTGCATCCTTAGATGTATCATCCATGCAAGTTTGGTCAACATAGGGCTTAAAGTTACTTGCAAATGAAACCTGCACCAAAAACATTAACCTGTTCGCTCAACTGGAAAATGTAGGTCAGATTCAGCATCCGAAGCAAGTCCGGTAGTATGCATCCTTAGATGTATCATCCATGCAAGTTTGGTCAACATAGGGCTTATAGTTACTTTGAAATGAAACCTGCACCAAAAACTTTAACCTGTCCACTCAACTGGAAAATGTAGGTCAGATTCAGCATCCGAAGCAAGCCCGGTAGTATGCATCCTTAGATGTATCATCCATGCAAGTTTGGTCAACATAGGGCTTATAGTTACTTGGAAATAAAACCTGCACCAAAAACTTTAACCTGTTCACTCAACCGGAAAATGTAGGTCAGATTCAGCATCCGAAGCAGGCCCGGTAGTATGCATCCTTAGATGTATCATCCATGCAAGTTTGGTCAACATAGGGCTTATAGTTACTTGGAAATGAAACCTACACCAAAAACTTTAACCTGTTCACTCAACCGGAAAATGTAGGTCAGATTCAGCATCCGAAGCAAGCCCGGTAGTATGCATCCTTAGATGTATCATCCATGCAAGTTTGGTCAACATAGGGCTTATAGTTACTTGGAAATAAAACCTGCACCAAAAACTTTAACCTGTTCACTCAACCGGAAAATGTAGGTCAGATTCAGCATCCGAAGCAAGCCCGGTAGTATGCATCCTTAGATGTATCATCCATGCAAGTTTGGTCAACATAGGGCTTATAGTTACTTGGAAATGAAACCTACACCAAAAACTTTAACCTGTTCACTCAACCGGAAAATGTAGGTCAGATTCAGCATCCGAAGCAAGCCCGGTAGTATGCATCCTTAGATGTATCATCCATGCAAGTTTGGTCAACATAGGACTTATAGTTACTTGGAAATGAAACCTGCACCAAAAACTTTAACCTGTTCACTCAACCGGAAATTGTAGGTCAGATTCAGCATCCGAAGCAATCCCGGTAGTATGCATCCTTAGATGTATCATCCATGCAAGTTTGGTCAACATAGGGCTTATAGTTACTTGGAAATGAAACCTGCACCAAAAACTTTAACCTGTTCACTCAACCGGAAAATGTAGGTCAGATTCAGCATCCGAAGCAATCCCGGTAGTATGCATCCTTAGATGTATCATCCATGCAAGTTTGGTCAACATAGGGCTTATAGTTACTTGGAAATGAAACCTGCACCAAAAACTTTAACCTGTTCACTCAACCGGAAAATGTAGGTCAGATTCAGCATCCGAAGCAATCCCGGTAGTATGCATCCTTAGATGTATCATCCATGCAAGTTTGGTCAACATAGGCCTGATAGTTACTTGGAAATGAAACCCACACCAAAAACTGCACCAAAAATGTTAACCTGCTCCAAAAACATTAACCTGGTAATTCCTTTGCTGAAATTGCAGCATCTGAAACTTTGTCTGGTACAATAAAACACACTAAAACCATTTTCCATGCATGTCTAATCAGTATAGGACACAGAAGTAATTAAAAAGAAAACTGCTCCAAAAAACTTAACCTTAACCTGGGACGCCGACGCCGACGGTATCACATAAGCTCCCCCCAACTTCGTTGAGGTGAGCTAAAAATTACATTCTTTAAATCTAGTTGAGCTTTAAAATCACAAAAAAATCTAAGTGTTGTCATTGCCTCTATCATGAATCTCTTCAGCATTCACCTCTTATATACAAAGATTCATCAGAGACCTATAATTCTTACCTTTCCTGTGGTTTGTCCGTGTAACCCTAACCAGTGACGAATCTCGTCTTCACTTGCAGCACCAGCCTTGTCGATTTTGTTACCTAGAACAAGAACAGGGGCACTGGCCACTTGTTCATCTGTCAGTAAACTCTGAAATACAACATGAGAAAAATTAATACTCTTTCTTTTTATACTACATTATAGGTCTTGACTGCTCTTATTTTATTGTGTTATGCTGTACCTACATCTAATTCTGCTTTTGCCTCAGCAAATCTCTGTCTGTCGCATACATCTACTAAGAACACAATACCATCAACTGCTGGAAAATACTCCTTCCACACTCTTCTGGCTGTTAATACAAAGGTACATTTTGTAATCCTTTCATTAAATTCCTCATGGAAACCACAAAAAAATCATTTACCAAATACAGCATATACTCTAATCTATCATGTATATTGAGGATCCACCTTCTTTACAGAGTTTTGTTTTGCTCTGATAATTTTTAAAGAAAACCTTATTTTTAAGAGCCCTATATTTATTTATTTACCTTGTTGATGACCTCCAAGGTCAAAGGTTGTGAACCTCATTCCTCCCATAGATAATTCTTCTGAAGCTAAAATTTATGCATAACATGGAATTAAAACAACTCAGTTTGACAATGAATTATGCTATTTCTTCATTAACAAATACAATAATAAAGGCAGCATCAGAAACAGGTCTTACATTAATTATATTAATTTCTAAGTATGTAAAAAAAAATATGCAATTTTCCAAATAAATTTAAAGTCTCAGAAATTGCACCACTTTACATCATGTTTACATTTAATTCAGTCAAAGGATGAACACATTTGTTGTCAACATTTGTTCAGTAGTTGTAATTTCTTGACTTGAGAGTTTTTTAACATGATCATAATCAACATTGAGATCCCAAAGTTAACCTCTGGTTTACCAATTAAAAACACATTATTACTCAGTAAAAATTTAAAATCCTCTCTGATGTTTAAAGCTGGAAACACTTTTATGCCTCAGAAAAATACATTAGCAAGGTATACCATTTCCAAGTGAACAATATAAGCTCATGCTTACTTGGGTGGAGTGTGGGGACATGCTGTGCCATCCTGTCATCTTTTAACATGTGAAGCAGTGTTGTCTTTCCAGCATTGTCTAGACCAAGGAACACAAGCTTACCAGACTTTTTATACAATCCTAAAATATAAAGCCATGCCGTTTAAATATCATGCAGTTTGCCATACTTACAGTTTTAGAGGGTTCAAATCACGCTCCACTCGTATAGGAAAATACATATGAACCTTAAGTATATATTTCAAATTCACACAAAAGTTATGAATAACACACATATTTAACATAGAGCACATTATTTCTGGGAAAGCCAATCATTTTGTTCTGCAGCTTAGTGCAATACATATTGTAGAGTTATAACACATTGTCTTTTTCCCTTCTCTTTTTACAAATTAGCACTTTTTAAATTTTAGATTATCTTGTTTATGTACGGTAATATGTGTAACCGAAGTGAATATTTTACCATTTCCTTTCTTAAAATGAATTGATTTACATTTTCTTGTCAACTCAAGTATATTTATTACTCTATTTTAATACTGTTCAATAATTCTTGATAATTCAATTAAATTTTCAATGTTTTTTTCCTTCAGTTATATCACATTCCTCATCAACTAAATTAAGATCATACTTCCTTTCTGCTGATCAGTGGTCACCCAACCAACCAACAAAGCTATCTAAACGCTGTAGTAATGCATACAGTACAAAGTGTATGAATCCACCTTGCATATTTAGCATTTGATTATACAGAATGATATAAAACTTTTGGTATGTATATCAATCAATTAGTATTAACATATGTGGTGATTGGCCAGTGCAAACCATTTAGTTAACAAATATATGAAACTATTTTATGGATGCATAAAAATGCACAAGTTCTTTCAAATCTAGGTATGTGTCCATGATGCAACACAGAGGACAAACTGGCTTTATATTATCGGCAGCTTACTTGGGTGTAGTGTAGGCACAGGCTGGATGATATGGCCTGCTTTCAACACACTCAGCAGTGTTGTTTTTCCAGCATTGTCTAACCCCAACAAGAGAAGCTTGCCAGATTTTTGACGCAATCCTCATACATAGAAATATACACATTTATAACAATATTCTGTTTATAACTGGCTTAGCCTAGTTTTTAACATTTCTTAATAATATAACAAAGGATACATTTTTCCTATTAAAGTAGAATGAAAATGTTGCTCTTACCTAGATAATTTAAAATGCCGGCAAACCAGTCCCACAAAAACATCTTTCAAATCTATATAGAAGACCTGCAGCTGAAAATACAGAAGAAACATACCCATTACATGAAATATTATGCAAGACAAAGAACTTATCACTATTCACATACAGCATGTTTTGTAACATACATATCCTGATCTGGATACATTGTGTGCTAAGAATAATTGGTGTTTTTTTTATATTCTGTGAGTGAATAAATAACCTATTCTAATTTCATAATAAGAATGCAAGGAATGTAACTAAATAGTGTCAGATGTAGAGCGTATTTTTGTCAACTATCGTGAAAGAAAACAGAATAACGAGCCTGATGAATGCAAAAAAGTTCTTGGTGGAAATCAAATGTTAGTCAGGTCCAGTCCAAAGACTATTTCTACCTACATAGCTATTAATAGCTATGTAGGTATTTAAAGACGTACAACACACTGGGGGAGATAACTCTTGCGATTTCAATTGAACGTTTGACGTGACGTCAAATTTAACGTAAAAAATAAAGCGTTAAAATGACGAGTAAAACGATCCCGATGTATTTCAATCATTAAAGAAAAATGGGATATGGGACTTGGCTGTGATTATGCGTACCATACTCAATCAATAAGTTTTTTTTTAATCAACCCGATTAAACTCCGTAAAAAGCAAGTAATAGACATAAAATACCATCCCTTAATGTTTATTTCATTTCATTCCATATACAATAAATTGTAAACTTGATCAAAGCGAAGCATTTTTTTTTCATTCTGAAAATTTTATTTTACATTGCCGAAATTCTCAGTATGGCTATATAACATTCCGATTAATTAATGGTCTTCATTACAATTGGTGCATTTACGATATAGATATTGTTTTTCTTCTTTAATTAAATAAAACAACAATAAACAAACAAAAAACTTTTTACACTGTAAAATCGATGTTGTTCTCAGACCCTTACTGATCAAAGAGGAACAACTCTGAAAATGTAGATGTTTATTTTCCTCCCTTTATTCACGATTTTCCACAGAAATACATTTACAGCAAGACCTGATAAATCCGAGAATTGAATACTATAGACCTCATATACACAATGTAAGTATAGAATTGAAAAGAATTGTTCACTAGTACTGAAATTATCTGCATTTATGAATATCGGCTATTGCAGCAAATCGTTTGACTTTCTGTCACTGCCAACAATGCAATGTCGGTTCGCATTTCCTCGAATCAAAACAAAACGTAGCCTATAAGATTTTTAAAAATATCAATGTGCGATTTGATATAAATTGAAATAGATGAAGAGTTTAATGTTTGATATTTTGAAGTTAATGTGGACGAATACGGAATTTTCATTTTAACTTTAGAAGCAACGACATTGAAAGAATGCGTACAATAATCATGGGGGGGGGGGGGTACCTCTATGCAAATGTCGATGTATCCCCACGGCCACATACTGTCTCGTTTGAAATTATATGACATGAAAGAAACTACAATTGTTCCATTTATATCACAGGAGAATTGAACATGCACCATTTTTTTTTATAAATAAAATTAAAGAAATAAAATTAAAAATCAACATATTCAAGTTCAACATAAATTGAATTCGTATCTAGGTTTCATGTGATATGGAATGCATAACGCGTACATATATGGACTTAAAACTAAAATCCTTCAGTAATTTTTCCTGATACATATAAAAACAGTAGTCAATATTTATTCTACATTCATTAATTTAAAAACTAATGCATACCTCCGGGATTCAAATAACGAAATACTAGTATATTTGCAGTGTAAACGACGTTTCGTCAAACGCTA